GTTCTTTTCTTTTCTGTCCCGCGCTTTTGTTTCCTACGCCACCTTCGCCTTCATTTTTTCACCCCATCGCCGTGCAAAGAGCGGGGTGAGGAGGGAAGGGCGGCGCGAAAGGAATATTGTATTCCTCACGAATAAAAAAAGGAGCGGGAAGTAGTAATAATAATAAACGGAGGCAAGAAAAAAAAAGAAAAGAAAAGATCCCAAACCGGGAAACAAACAAGCAGGATGGAGGGGATGCAGCGTGGGGCGGAATCGCTGGTCCCGTTAGTGGGGGATTGTGAGCTGGCGCTGCAGCACGCCACCAGCTACGAGCCACCCATGTACCTCTTCCCGGAGTTACTCCCGAAGGTCCCGGAAGGCACGGCGCCCTTTTCTGTTAGTGACGCGGTGTCGGACGCGGTTGACGTGGAGGCGTCATCCCTTAACATTGCGGAGCTGTTCCATTTGCCTCCGATGGAGCCGCGCGAGGAGACGGGAGGTTCCCAGGCGGGGGATGCAGATGTCGCCAAGGCGGCCACGCCTCTTGCGTCCCCCGCGCCCATGACGACGTTGGCCGCACTGTTGGCCGCAGATCGCCTTCAGGTGGCGGGTCTCTCGGCGGAGATGTTGCAGCGAGGGAAATTCTCCTCTGGCTCCATCATAGAAGAGCTGATGAAGCTCAAGGATCGTGCACAGCTGAACGATATTGAGGCGCAGGCGATCATGTCAAACCACTTCATTAACGTCCTCGCTTGGCGGACATTGATTGAAGTCAACAATCAGGCCATGACAGCAGGCAAGCGAGAGCCCACGCCTGAGTGGCGTCGCGGTCGCGTACGACCACGCGAGGAGGCGACGGAGGAAGTAGACATTGGTGCGATGCAGCCCTCGGATGACCCATGGAGCGCCGATATTGATCTGCAGCCTGGGGTCTTTGTCTCTGCTGCTGAGCAAAATGTGGAACAACGGATCGAGCTTATTGACACGCTGACTGCCCTTTACCGTCGTCCATGGCAAACTCTGCAGTCGCGCGGAATACAGACGGAAAGGTTTACACCCGGCTCCATCAATGAGACAGCGCCCTTTGTGGACCCTGTCAAACTTCCCGCCGCCATGCTGGACCCTGTGAATGACCTTGGATGGAAACCCTCAACTGTAGAAGAGGCTCCAACTAATTTCTGGGAATTAAGGCTGACTTCGTCCAGTACTGCGGCCTCAGAAGTGATTCCGTTACGAGGACGCTTCCTGCACTTTGGCCGCAACGCTGGCGTCACAAGTGCCGCGCATGGTACTGTGACAAACGTTCATATTGGACTCTCCGCCTATACAAACCACCCTGAATTTATCTCACCCCATCATTTCTCGCTTGCGGTGTTTCCAGCGAATCCCAAACGGGTCGCCGGCGAGGCGGGCGCTGCGGTGAAGCATGAGTTGGATGGCAATGGGGAAACTGGTGAGGAGGGCCAATCCCTCTGGCTCATGAACTATGGGCGTAACGGCGTTCGCATTGCTGGGAAGCAGTGGACGCTGGGAGACATGGTCCGCCTGGAAGTTGGAGACGTGCTTCAACCCACCGATGACATTCGTCTCGTGGTGCTTGGTGGAGGCGGCTGCGGCGGCGCAGTAGGCGAGGCATCGCCGGCCGAGGCCACGCCCGCCGCGAAACCCGAGGTATTGCTTGAGGAATACATTGGAGCAGCCACGGAACGAGCTGCCGCACAAATTGCCACTTCAGCGCGTTCGTCGCCTTCTTCTCTTGAGGCTTGAGGTGCTGTTGGAGCGGTTAGCATTTACCCTGATTTGTTGCTTTTTTCCCACCGCCACCACCCGTTTGTCTGTTTTTGGTTTTGGTTTTGCTTCTGCTGTGTTGTTCGCGCTGTTTTCCCCCCTGTGAAAAATCACCTCTCTCTCTCTCCCTCTCTCTCGCTGTGGACTTCTCTGGCACCACAGCCCGACGGCTGCACATGTTTCCTTTTTCTTAATAACAATAATTTTTTACCCCTTTGTTGTCATCATTCGCGTTTTTTCTGTCGATTTGATTTCTGCTCGCTTGCATGAGGAAGTCAGCTAACGATGGGGTTCTCACTTGCCAGCATTGCGCAGGCGCTGCTTCTCTGCCTCAACGCCATGGCCATCCTGTCGGAGCGGCGGTTCCTCTCGAAGTATGGCCTTGCCACAACGCCAATGTCAGAGCAGGGTGGGGATGCGGGGTATGTGCCGCAGTCGTTTGGCGCTGGGGACGCCTTTGCGCGTGTGCCGCCGACCTCCCCCCTGAAGATGCAACTCGCCTTCCTGCTGAGTAGTGTACGTACCTTGTTGCGGTTGCCGTTGATCCTCGTGAACACGGCGGTTATCATCTTTGCCCTTCTGTTTGGCTGAGTTGCGGCGGGGCGGGGTGCATATTCTTCCGCGCTGCGCCGTTCCGGTTGAACAGTGAAAGATTTTTGTGTCACTGGGCGTCTGACTCGGTGGTTTGAGCTTCGCATACCCATCTGTTTGCTCGCATATTCCAAAGCGCTTGGCGGAGGATATGTCACTCCCCTCCCACTCGAGTGGGAACTTGGGGTTTCTCCAGAGGTCTGTGTCTGTGTGTGTCTGTGGGCGGAGGCACTTCGATTTTATTCCTTCCTGCCTGCCTCTCTTTTTTTTCGTTGCCGTTGCCATTGCTGTCTTTTCGCTTACCAGAGGCGGTCCCATGTCTGCGGAGAGCGGCGGACTTCCCTCCATCGGCGCCAAGCCGCGCATGGGGAAACGCAAGGAAAAACTCCAAATTTGGAGCGCCGTCGCGCTGCAGCAGCACTTCTCGCGTGGGGCGTTGCTGAGTAGTGTGTTGCCGACGTTAGAGGAGGCGCCGCCGCCGCTCCCTGGCGGCCGGCTGACGCTGGCACAGAAAATGGGGCTTGTTCCACTGCCGCCGCCGGCCCCCACGGAAGAGGAGTGGACGAGAATTGAAGGTACTGCGGTGCGCCGTAACCTCACGGTGCCGCTCGGGGCCAATGCCTGCTGCATCTGCCAGGAGCCTTTTTACGCCACGATGGAGCAGGGACAGGTGCTGCTAAGTTGCTCACACGTCTTCCATGAGCAATGCTTTCGCCAATTTGAGAAGCTGGCGAGGCGGTCGCGCGACAAGTTGGATGCGACGCCGCTCTGCTGCCCTGTGTGCCGCAGCAGCCACTACCACAAGCGCATTTTTTACGCGGGTCAGGCCATGGCACAGCGGGCAGCAATTGTAAAGATTCAGGCCTTTTTTCGCCGCGTCCTGGCACGCAAGGCGTACGTGAAGCTGCGACTGGAGAGTGACAGCGAATTCTCTGGCGAGTACGCGCGAGAGCGGCTGGCACGGCTGTCCAACACGTATGCCGCGTACGCTGAGCGCCGTGAGCGGGAGCGGGCCAGCATGTTAGAGGGCATCGACCTCCGTCTGCAGCGCGCGCTTGCGCAGTGCACAACGAGAGAGGAGTGGAATGCGCTGCGTGCGCGGGCGTATGCGGCGGCGGCGGCGGCGGGAGGCGCGTTGGACTGCCCCATCTGCTTTGGCGCAATTGAGCGCAACCCACACGCCGACGACTCTCAAAGGGGCGTCACAGGAGAAGATGTCGTTGCGGCCTTTCGACGCGAGTACGATGCACGCATGGCCCAGCGGCGTGCCACAGAAAGCAAGAAGAAAACGTCATCGCAACTGCCAGGCAGGCACACCAGGCACGTCACTATAAAAGCGCAGCCGGTGTCGACTGAAGGACATCCAAGCACGTCTGAGGCACGCCCTTCTCAGGAAACAAACCCGCCGAGCCCAGCCCGCAACACGCGTGCGGGATGTAGTGAGCCACCCGCCTCGCAGGTGGGAGGGCCGCGTTATGGCATCTTGTTGAGTTGTGGGCACTGCTTCCACGATGCATGCCTCTCTGCGTTTGAGCGCTATACTGAGATGAAGGCGGTGGAGAAAAGTGATCTTGTACTCATCCCTCGTTGTCCACTCTGCCGCTCAGCCTATGTGAAGGTGGATTACTAGTCCTCTCCAGCAGGCCGAGACACGTTTTCTCTCTATTTTTGTCCTGCGTCTTGTGTCGCATGCACCTCTGTGACGATGTACAAGAGGTTGTGCACCGAATGTGCCGGGTTTCCCCTTGGTGATATATATTACTGTTGTTGCTATTGATGCTGCTGCGGCCTCTTTTTTTTCTTTTTCTTTTTGCTGAGGCTTCCTCCAGCTGGCGTGCACGTGGATGCCTGCGGCAATATGTACACACGTTCACCACGCGGCTTCTCTCTTGCCTGTTCTCACACATACACAAATGGACACACAAATTGGGAGTTATTCCGCCCATCGACGTTTCGCTTTGATTGCCATTTTTTTTTATTTTTTTAAATTTTTTCTTGTTGGTCCAACGACTCTGCGACAGACGCAACAAGAAGCAATACCATGCCGGGTGTGGACTACTCGAAGTGGGACAAATTCTGCGACAGCGATGACTCCGGCGGGGACGAGGGAGCGAAGAGCGGGAGGCCGTGCGTGACGCGGCTGCAGTACCCATCACGCGTCACGGTTGGCCCGGGCGGGGTGCACATGGAGGCGTCACCGCCGCTGGCGACGGCTTCCCCGTTTACGGGCGGAAGTGGTGCCGCTGCCGCTGCCGCCACGGCGCGCGCGGATCCTGCGCCGGGTGGGAAACCGCCCTCGCAGCAAGGCGCCCCAAAGGAAGTGAAGGACGACGCCGAGGCCGAGGCCGAGGAGGATGAGATGATGTACAACAACCTGACGCGCAACGGCGGGCGTGAGCGGGATTCGCACCTCTGGTCACAGACACGGGACACCGCCTCTGTGAGTTTTATACTTCCCTCAATGGCCACCAAGGCGAAGGACATAGTGAACTTCCGGTTGTGCGCCGAGGAACGGCCGGACGGCGGCTCTGTGTGTGTCTTAACATTTAGTACGAGGGGCGTCGAGGAGGAGCGCCGATGCGTCTTCAGGTACCCTGTGAAGCTTGACAGCGACGTCGTGGAAGGGTGCTGGCAGCTGCACTCGCTCCCGAGCAGGTCTCTGCGGCTGATGGTGGTGCAGCTCGTCAAGGAGCCGGTGGCGGTGGGCATGTCGCTGTGGTGGGACCGATGCTTTGTGACGGACCGGACCACCGTCGACACCCGCACACTCGCCGACAGAAGCGGCGCAGAGGCGCTGCGGGGAGAACAATTTCAGCGGGCCTGGCATCAAGCCCACGAGGAATTCAAGAAACGAATAAAAGAACCGCACGGCCGCCCGCCCATTATTGCGGAGGAAGAGGAGGAGAACTGCAATTGAGTGAGGGGCTTTCCCTGCGCTGAAGCTTTTCCTTTTTTTTTTTCCGTTTGCCTTCTCTTTTCTGGTTTGCTGCGTGCGGGGTATTCCTGTGCCTCCCCCCACCTCCTCTTCTCTCGCATCGTTTAACCTGATGGTAGTGGCCGTGAGGAATTTGGCCGTGTTTTTTTTTTTGCTTCCCCCTCAGTGCTGGGGCGGGGGATGAGTGCCGACCGCGTCTTCTCGGAGGGCGATGGCGCCCCATCGTTAGCGCTGCAGATTGGCGGGGCGCCGCTTGCCGACGTCCTCGCCGACATGATGCGGCTGATACGCTCTCAGGCGGCGGAGCTGGCGACGCTGCGCCGCACCGCGGAGGAGGGGATTGCCCGTAGCGAGTGTGGTTTGAAGCGGCACGGCGAGGTGCTAAATAGCCTCTCTGCGGACCTGCGGCTTCAGGTCCGCCCCATCCACCACCACGCTCAGCCGTCCATGCCAACCATGGCGGATGCCGTGGCGAATGTGGAGTGCCGGCTTGGGCGGGTTGAGCGGGCAAGGAAGGTGGAGCTTGCCGAGCAGCTCAGTGAGGTGACGGCGAAGAGGCTTATAGCCACGTTTTACAACCCCTGGCTGCTCCACCGAACGAGGCGTGTCAGGAGTTATTTACTGCTGGCAGACACAAGGAAAACCATGCTGCGGCGATACTTGCGGCGATGGAAGCGCTATGTTTCACTCCGTGGGAGGCAACTGGCTCGGCGGCGCCACCTCACTGGGCTCGTCGCGGCGCAGGGGCGGCGGTTGTTGCTTAGGTATTGGTGTCAGTGGATCCACGCTGCGGCGTCCAAGTCACAGGCGCGCTTGCAGCGGCGGATTTCCGCCGCCGCCGCCGCCGACGCGGTGCTTCGCCTCACCTGTCGTGGAATTGCACGACGCTACCTGCGTGCCTGGGTGCGGTTTTCAGAGTCCACCAGGAATGTCAATGGCCGGGCCCGTGGGGCACTCCTCTTGGAGCAAAAAACGGCTAGGCTTCTGGCAGGGGGCTACTTTCGGAAGTGGATTGACACCCACCGCCGGCGCCGTATCCCCGCAATGCGTCTCAAGGCGTTGGATGTGCTGCGAGTGAAGCTATGCCGCAACCTGGCCAGCTCCTACTTCAGGGCGTGGCGCGATATTCTTCCGCACCGGCGTCAACGGCGTCGTATTATCCGTCTCATTCCGCATTTGCATCACACCAGCCTCGCTGCGTTGGCGCGGCGCTACTTTTCTCGCCTCTACGCCTTTCGACTTGTGCGCCGTGAGGCACGCGTGGTGGCGACGCTGGAGCAACGCCTGAAAGCGCTTAGCGAAAGAGCCGACGGACTTCAGCGACAGCTGGACATGGGCTTACACACCTTGTCGCATACCAACAGTGTTCTTGCCAGGGTCGTGGACACAGTTATGATTGCCGAGGAGCCGTGCTCCGCCCTGCAGACGCTGTTGCAAGATGAGACGGTGATGAATTTACCGACAGTGCCCTCAGTGGGAGAAACCGAAGGCCATCCGGAAGCCTCGTCCTCCCCACTCGCTGCGAAGCCTCACAGCTGCGGGGAGTCAGCGCCTGCTACGGGGCCGGCGCAGCAATCGAATGATGAGAATCGCTGCAGCAGTGCGAGCGAGGTGCTTCGGAGCCTGCGTGCTCGTCTAGAAAAGACGTACAAAGTGGCTAGAAACGAAGCGTAGTAAAAGGCCTGAGTGTGTATGTCTATACCACTAGCCCTTGCTAATGCTATATGGTTGAAAAACCGAAATGACCTCATCTCGTTTTTAGTTCCCTCTCAAACTCGTTATGATAGCTACTTGTTTCAGCTGCCCTTTATTACTATTGTTATTCGTTCCTTAGATGTGATTAAGTGCAGCGGGGCGAGTGAAGTTACGACGCATGCCGATTGTGTTTTGCGTGGATCTCATCACCCGATGTACCCCGCTTCTTCAGCGGTATGTTGCGCAACATGCCGCCACGACAACTCGGTCGACTCTTTTTATATGTCTCGCCCGCTCCTCTGTTTCTTTTTTATTTTTATTTTTTTTATTTTGGCGCCTTCTCTGCGCCTTTGTACCCCTTCTCCCCCGCCCGGTCTGCCTTGTAGAGCCGTCGTGCAAGTCCAAAAAGCGGGGAAAAGTTGGGGGCCAAGGCTGCAAATGTCGCTGACGGCGGAGTTGTTTGGATCCCCCGGCCCGTCCTCGACGACGGCGGGGGTGACGCATGCAGCCGGCGCCCCGAAAGGGGCCTCCGGTTTATTCGAGCCGGTAAAAAAGGCCGCCTTTGATCTCTTTGCGTTGGCGCCGCAGGTGAAGAAAGCCACCCGGAAGGAGAAGCAGCGCCTGCGTTTGCAGGAAATAGCTGCGCCCAGAAAGGGCACACACAAGACCGATGACGCGACGGAGAGGGACGCTGAGGACGACGTCTTCAAGACGGTGCTCCTCACCGAGGAGACCAAGGAGCGGGCCACCACCGAGAAGCAAAGGAAGGCGTCTAAACAGCACCTGCGGCATGCACTCCATGATAACAAGGAGGAGGAAAGCCGCACCGTGTTTGTTGGGAATCTCGTGAATGACGTCAAGCGGCGAACGATAGAAAAGGTTTTTAAGAACTGTGGGACGATCGAGTGTGTTCGAGTTCGGGCGCAGGCGCTGGAAAGCGGGGAGGAGGAAGGCCGTAGCAAGGGTAAGAGTGTGGGCCGTGCCATACGTGTGCTGCGTGGAGAGATCAAGAAGGGTGACCAGTACAGTGCGGTGGCGTATGTCTTGTTTAAGGACGGGGCGTCTGTGGCGAAGGCGCTGGAGCAGAATGGCGTAATGGTGGACGGGCGCCACATTGTGGTCACTGCCATGGACGCTGAGAGCCGGGCGTACGCGCCGGAGACGTCTGTATTCATAGGCAATATCGCCTACGACACAAACGAGGAAATGGTGTGGAATTTCTTCCTGGAGAAAGGGGTGGGAGACGTGAGACGCGTTCGCCTCGTTCGGGATCGTGACACGGGCAGCTGCAAGGGGTTCGGCTACGTCGAGTTCCACGCGCCTGCCTCCGTGTCGCGGGCCATTGCTACCCGTGGCAGTCTGCTGAACGGTCGGGAGGTGCGAATTGTCCACGTGCAGAAGTCGAAAGCCGTGACCGCGACGAAGGCAAGCCGGCGGGAGAAGCGGAGGCGGGAGGAGCAGGCCACGACCAACCCCCTCCACGGCGGCGGAACGAAAAACAAGAAGGCGCGTCTGGAGGAAAGGGGTCCCAGGCGACAGGCCAACGCGGAGGGGGAGTTTGCGTGGATGGGCGTCGTGACGAACCCGCGCAAGAAAATACCAAAGGACCTGCGACCGTTAGTGGAGGGCAAAAAGAGCCGCCCCTCGTCAGGGCCGCGAGCCCCGGTGAAACGCAAGATGCGTAACCCAGAGAAATAGCGTGCACCCGTCTGCGCGGCTCACTCTCTCTTTCTCTTTCTCTCTCTCTGTTGACTGGGAGGACGAAAAAGAGAGCGGGGCGGGGAAAAATAATCGTGTAAACCCGCGTAAAGGTGCCTACTACGGATATACAACCGGTGGGCGGGGAGCCATGAAGCGAAAAGAAAAAGAAGATGAGATGAACCATTTTTTTTTTCCTCTCTCTCTTTTTAATATAAAAGAACAAAAAAAAAGACATACAGAGACAGTGTGTGCGTGTGTGGCATGCTCGGTGTGTGTTAAAGGGAAGATGGGGTTGCAGCGAGGGCGTAGGTAGTTTGTTTTTGGCCTTTGTTCTTGTTGTTTTTTCTCTTTCTCTTCTTCTCTCGAATGGGCTTCGTTGGGGGCTGAGCCGCAAGGGCGATGTGGCGTAGGTGGGGTGCCCTGGTCGGTGTTGTCGCCGGCATCTCGGGTGTGGTGTTGGCTTCACGTGTGTGGAGGTCACGCCGTGGCGCTAACCCCCCGGATGCTGCCTTTGCCGCCAAGTACGCCGCAGTTCTGGGGACGCAGAAGGAACTCTCCGGCGAACAGCCCGTCAAAGACGCCAGAGTAATGGTCTTCTACGGGAGTACTTCTGGCAGCGCCGAGGCCTACGCCAAAGGCCTTGTGACGGATCTGAAGGGGCGCGGTGTTGCGGCCGCACTTGTGGACCCCTCCTGTTGGGATTACCTCGACCAGTACAAGCTGCAGCGCCGCCATCAACAGCGCCTTTTTACCTCGGGCACGGAGGGGAACCCGCCCATTCTTGTGTTTGTTGTCGCAACGACGGGGGAGGGCGAAATACCCGTGAACTTTTTTCGCCTCTACGCTGAAATGCAGGCGGCCTTGGAGGCGGCAGCCGAGAGCGGGACAAAAGCGTTTGATGGTTTAATGTACGCCGTATTTGCCCTGGGCGACAGTTCCTACAAGTACTACTGTCGAGGAGGCGTTGAGGTGAGGCTGCTCTTGAAGGCGGGTGGTGGAACGGAGATGTTGCCTGCTGGCTTTGGGGACGCGCGTAACCCGCTGCAGGACGACGTCTTTGACGCATGGCAAGAAACCCTCATGGAGGCGTTGGAGGAGCAATGCGGAGTGGCATTGGCGGCTGGCTCGGATGTCCCGCCCGAGCCACAGTTAGTATTTCGTTTTACGCCTGATAAGCCCACCAGTGCGTTGCCGTATCCGCCCCCACCGTCCCTGCTGGAACCGTCGATGCAGTATCCGGCGCAGTTTAAAGTGGAGGCAAAGACGCCACGTACCGCGCGGCGTGAGGATGGCTCTTACGTCCTGCACTTGGTTTTAAATATTGCGGGATACACGACGAGTTATCAGGCCGGCGATCATCTGGGCATCTACCCGGTCAATCCACCCGCGGTGGTGGAGGCGTATCGACGACAGTTGAAGATAACTGAGGAAGCCTGGGCAACGCCGGTAGAGCTCTGCACGGCTGCCAACGCACGCGCGCGGGCCTCGTTAAAAAACTCGTTTCCTGCACGTGTTGCCTTGCGCACCGTGTTTGAGCGCTACTTGGACTTGTGTGGAAGGCCCCGTAAGTCGCTGCTGCGAGTGTTGGCGAAATATTGCTCGGACCCGGAGGAGAAATCCTGCTTCATGGAGTTGCTGCATGGAGGTGCAAAGGCAAATGACGAGGATGGAGCACGAAGCATGACAGCAGCAGCAGCAGCATCTCCAACGCCATCCCTTACTTCTGCCTCCTCCTCCTCCTTCTCTTCCTCCTCTCATTATCGCACTGTGCTGGATTACCTGAACAGGTTCCCCAGTTGCTGCTGTATGCCGGTGGGGCATTTTTTGGAGATGATGCCGCGGATGCAGCCACGCTTCTATTCGATTGCGTCCGACATGCTGACACACCCCACCACAGTGGAGGCATTTATTCGTGTCCTTCCCGATGGATTGAACTCGCGCTACCTTGAACGCATTGCTGCCGGGGAAAAGATTACGGCGTTTATCCGCAAATCAACATTTCACCTTCCCGCAAAATGCGGTGAGCGGCCGGTGCTGATGATAGGTGTTGGTACCGGCATTGCGTCTATGGTGGGCTTCTGTTACCGGCGAGAGGCATTGCGAAGGAAGCAGCCAGCTGCTGCATGTGGGCCGATGATTCTTTTCTTTGGGGCGCAGCGGCGTGCGACGGAGTATTTTGTCAAGCAGGAGTTGCAGGGTTGGTGCCTCCATGGCGAGGGAACACTTCAGGCCGCCGACGCGTCCCCTTCCTCGTTACTTTATCTGCTTGACGTCGCGTTTAGTCGCGACCAGCCCGAAAAGTACTACGTGACGCATCTTGTCGAGAAACACAAGGAACACCTCAGGCAGCTGCTCACCTCGACGTCGAGGGGCGGCTGCCTCATTTACCTCTCAGGGGACGCCGCCCGCGTGGCGAGGAGCGTGGACCAGGCCTTGGTGAGGCTCCTGCAGGGCGCCGGCATGACGCGACCTGCGGCGACAAGTTTTTTGCAAAAAATGGAGCAGGAGCGTAGGTACATGAAGGACGTCTACTGAGCGCGCACGCACGCGCAGGAGCTTCACCCAGGCAGTGCGAAATAATAAAAAGGAGAAGAAAAAAGAAGGCGAACGCTGCAACGATGGAGTTGTTTTCACGCCGCTCGCTACTGCATTATAAAAGGGCCCGCACGCAAAAACAGTGTAGAACCCGAGTGAGTGACGCATGTGCGCCTCTCTTAGCTGTGTGTGTGTGTGTACTCCCCCCCTTATTTTTTTTTGGTAAGGGTGTGTTTCGCTATTTTATCTCCTT